TCAGCATCTTTCTTTCATCCTTCTTTAAGTTGATTTCTTAGAGTTTGGATAGGCTTCTAGTCTCCACTAATTTAACAGGTTTGAATAGCTATACCATATCCTTGATTTCTTCCTAAAGGCCCAATATGTGTGCATTCACAAGGTAGTCTCCAATTAGCTAATACTTGTTGGTGATTATGGCAAAATCAATATTATATTCAACTACACTACTCTGCTGCATAATCAAGGGAAGACCTTTCTTTTAAAATTCTTGGATGCTCAACATCTTTTCTGGTTGATTGTAATGACCTCATATATTGGGTCTTTTGCTTGGATATCTGGATGAGAGATTGTTGAATATTATCCAATATTTTGGAACCCATATTGGCAACGATGATTGGATCTAATGCCTAAATAATTGAAATACAGAGAAGAGAGAGAAAGAGATGAAAATAAGATAGGAATAGAGTGATAGGAGGGAAAGAGCAAAGAACATAACATATAAGAGAGAAAGTTGTAGAGAGATTGAGAAAGAATAGAAACACAAGATATTTTGGATAATATGCATGACTCATATTAGACTAGCATAAGGTTTTTACAATTGAATCGCAAAGTATTTATAGACTCCTAATCCCAACGACTATATTCTTAACTACCTAACAGCTATTCCCTTAAACTAGAATATTTAATATTAAAATGAATAAAATGTCATAATTATAATGACATAACAACTTGCTACCAAAAAGTTGCAACACCAAAAGCTGGCCCTTTATGCATTGCATCTCATGAAGGCCATCAAGAGACTTTTTGGCCAAATCCTCATCAAACTAGAGAAATTAGTAGACTTCATTTTAAAAGAGCAAAACAAAGCATGCTTCCTTTTCTTGGAAGGCTTCAAAAGAACAAAAATTCTAGCTAGTTTAGCCATTACAAACCCAAGCTTAGGTGAACATGATCAATAGCAGAACCACTTGATATCCAAGGGGCCACCCAAAAAAAAAAAAATTACCGTCTCTTTGTAAAATATTGGTGTATCTATATCTATATCTCTCAAATCACTCTCATTCAAAACTCCCCACATCCTTTCACATGTATAGAAATGTTCTTTCCATTGACGTGTTACATGTATATTTTCTATATATTTATTCATTTTTGTTTCTTCACATGTTCCTTACCATGCATCTCATATATAAGTTATTTTTAATTATTTTATAAGAATCAAGAAAAAGTAGTTAAATTATTGGTATTGCTTAAAAAAGAAATAGATTTTTGAGTTTACTTTTATTAAATATATCATTTTTAAAAAATAATTTTCTCTTATGTGTAGATTTAGATATAGTGAGGGGCTCCAATCCACCCACTTAATGAGTGTTTCAATTACAGCCACTAGATTTCATCAACATTTACAAATTATTAAGATATATTCTTCTCTAAAAATTCAAAACAATCCTTGTTATCAAAACACTTCTCATGTGTCCCCCAAAAAATTTGAATGAGTAGACTCACTGGATGCAAATCCCACATATATTGCCTCTTGCTCTACTTATAAAAGATTCTAAAAGAGTAAAATTGAAAAAAAAAAAAAGAAGTAATTAATGATCCATTCTTTATTATAGGATAGACCGCACTATTTATTTACTTTTCATTATTGTTGTTTTTTCACTTCTAAAATATAATAGTACTTAATGGTACATGTTAGTTCCTTTTTCAAATATATTTAGAAGAATGCATACCATTAATTATTATAAAAATTTAAAAAACCTTAAATAATGTATGTACCTAGAGGATTACCTAAAAAATAACATATACATATATTCAAAAAAAAAAATGCCCCCACCCTTAATTTCATTGCTGGTTCCACCCCCTGAACGCTATGTTAGAACGGATATGAGAGACACTGCAAGTGAACTCATGTAAGCATGATGTATGAAGCCATTCTCCTAGATATTAGAAAAAGAAAAGTTAGGCTGACCACCATCAAAATCATTTGCATGCATGAAGTCGTAATATGTATGGCCCCACTACTGGCATCACACGAATATAAACTTCATGCCAAGAGTTGTGAATGACTGTGTTTTGTTTTAGAGCTCATCAAGTACCATGGTGCTCATCACTTAATAAGTAATCTGAAGTGTCTAGACGATCCAGATTTTAAAATTTTATTTGGGAAGCTTGTTTTGCCAATCCTTATAGTTCACCTTAGTTTTTAATTAGGTCCCCAAGGTTTTTTTTTTTTTTCCTTTTTTAAGTGGCTCCTTCAAATTTATGCCGTCAATAGCTTTGATCCTCATAGATTGAGAAACTGAATGAAGGACGAACAGAGATGATAACGCCATGAAAATCTAATGAAACGGGGAAAGGACAAAAGAGCATGAGCTTTAAAAAGCCAAATATATGTGACTCCGTACATTCCAAAAGCCAAATATATGACCTCCATCGATCAGAACAGGTGAGCTCACCAAAGAGTTCATTTTTTTTTCTCTTGTCATGGGATCCTCTTTAACAAGAAGCTTGAAAGGAAGTTTCTATTCAAATTTGCTCTCCGAAGATGCTGTTAAAAGTTGCTATGCGAAACTGGTAGAAAGTGTTGTTTTATAGTTAGAAGATCATAGTGTTGAATTCCATTTATGGACTTGGCTATTGATGATTTTGATGAGTTCCAGTTTGATAATAAGTGAACAAGTTTCTCATCACACATACATATTTGACCAAATATAAATAGCATATGTAATATAAATATAGGGGGTGTGTGGGAGGGGGTGGTGAAAAAATGATAGAATGTAATAAGAAGAAAATAATACTATGTATGAATGAGGAGCAGCTTTTGGGTTTGAAGCATGCAAGATGCATCATGAGTGTCAATATAGAAATGGTTATGTTCTTCTATGAATGTAGCATTCCACCAAGTGGACCATTCTTGCATGGGTTCTTTGAAAGTAGCATCCACCAACTGGTTGTTCTTGCTTGTATTGTCTTTCTCTCCATCACCAAGGCTCTGAGTAACAATTATTGGGTTGTTGTTAGAGTTGTAAGTATGAGCCCCCACCACTGATAGGTGACTTGTCTTCCTAGGTTCATCTCCATTTTCTGTCTTGGAAAACAGAGGTAAATAGAGTGTTGTCATTATATATATAATGACTAAATATTACTTTCTCTTGCTTTTAAAATTTATATACAAGGACATGGTTTAAAGAGTTACTTCATCGTACTTTAGCCGTGGTTCATATTCACCTCCTCTTTCTAGTTTTAGCTTATTTACTTGATTAGCTTCAAATATTGATATGAGTTCTTCACGGTGGACATGAAACTAGAAAAAGACTCTCTCCATATTATATGAGTTTTTGGATTTTTACATTGGCTCCATGGTCATTTTTAACTTTGACCATATCATGATTATGCTTTTGCCTGTCAATCTCTTTGTTCAAAGCAGAAATACAGTGGTCTTGTGATGGGTCTGGAGTTATCGTGGATGTTGCTCAATGAAACACATGATCAACCTATAACACCATCTTCATGATCCACTTTGTTTCCAAGGCTTTCTCCATCCACCGTGTGTTAATTTATTTTATTGCAATTCATTCTACTTCAACTCCATCTGACGTCAGTTCGCCCTTCATTCAGTTTTTTAATCTATAGGATCAATGCTATTAACAGCGTAAATTTGAAGGAGCCAATAAAAAAGGAAAAAAAAAAAAAAAAACCTTGGGGACCTACTTAAAAACTAAGGTAAACTATAAGGATTGGCAAATTAATTTTCTCATTTTATTTTTATATTTATTATACAAAACTATAAAATTTTAATAAATTTATTTTATCATCAATATGACAATACAAATTTAATCTAAATGGTCTAATTTTATATTAAATTTTTTTATAATTTTTATAAATTAACTATTTAGATATATTCTGAATAGTTTGAATTTTAAATTTTCAAGTTGCAACTTTTTCTTAATTTTTTTTAAAGCACCAATTTGAAGGTTATCTTTATTTTTATATTTTAATATTATATTTACTAAAATAAAAATTTATAAAAATTCTAGAAAAGTTTATTATTAGATCCAAATGATTCATAATACGTTTGGATAGTTAATTTATAAAAATTATAAAAAAAATTAATATTAAATTGAACCATTCAAATTACACTTGTATTGTGTAGGTTAGTGATAAGATATATTTATTAAAATTTTATAATTTTTCATGATAAAAATAAAATAAAAATATAAAAATAAAATCCTAAAATTAACCTAGATCGTCCAGCAAAACCGGACTCGTGAATAACAAGTGGCTCTCATATCCCTCGGAAACTCTGCCCGCAAATGAGGAAGTAGCTACGGAAATCCATCTAGACAACGCTGTGTTGGAGGATAGTGCTAGTGATCATTAGCCTCCCAAGTTAAATCAATGAAACCATAGCTAAGTAGTATCCCCTAAAAACCAGTGAGCCCATGTAAATCTTGGTTCAAGCCAGCGATGTGAGCCCACGTTGAGACACTAATGACCATGGAAATGCACTCTGTACCGACAAGGAAAGACATTACGCTCCACATATATGTCCAAACCTGCACATGACACACGAACCTATGCTATAACACTTCATGACATCGCCATTCATGAGCTAAAAGGATTCATGAGTGCTCAGTGAGTAGAATGTAGCGTGACACTGGTATGTTAGTTGAGAAAGCACATGGACTGTATAGACATGCAGCAAACAGTGAAGTTGAGAGGTAAAAAGATCGGAGTAATAGGACCGAGTAAAAAAGCAAATGACTGAAGACAAAGTTACATTTAGAGAACCAGTGAACAATGTAGCTGATTAATTACTCGAATTCCTTGGTGTTAGAATTTTGAATTTACATAATTTCCACCCATGATGAGTCATTAGTGGGATTTGCAATAATTTCTGTCATAATGAGTTGACAGAAATCTGGAATTAATTTTTGATTAATAGCCTGAAAAAGAAACAATCATCCGTCATAATAACGATTATTTTAGTCAGCATGTTTTCTTTACAATGAGGCGAATTAATATCTATTGAATTTTTTTTTTATACGGAGACTTCCCTTCACTATAAATAGTGAACAAAGGTTGGAGGTAGAATCATTACAAAACAAACAGTTCTCTAGTTCAATCTTTCTCTTCCTCTCTTTCTCTTTGGTGCCTCTGCTGTGCACTATAATCTAGACCCTGATAGTTTAAACTCGTGTGAGTGGTTGAGTAGATTTTTCTATACTCGGATTTAGTAAGACTCTAACTCGACTCTTTTATTAGGTATATTATTTATTTTAATATTCCCTCACTTGGAATACATGGCTTGTCCTAAAGTTACTTGAAGCAACAGCTGTTGGAAAGAGTGGTTGATCAAGCTGAAGAGACGACACTTGTGCTAGTTTACTTGAGAAACCTCGATCAGATAATGGGCGAACAAAATCATGATCAGGTTTAGATCGTTCAACCTGAAATTCATCATCACCGTTCATGAGATCAAATTGTTTTTGTTTTTGACAGCAAGGCTTGATAAACTCTCCATGCAAGTCAACAGTTGTCCTCTCAGTCTGATGCAAATGATCATGATCTTCTACTTTCAAAATACTTGATCCCAAACCTGCAAATTCTATTGAAAAGGAATGTTCCAAAGAAGGATCAAAGCCTATAGGACCATGCATATTAGTTAAGAAAAGTGATCTCCAATCAGACATCTTGTATGAATAAATTAATCAGTCAAATTCCACACGAACAGATTCCTCATGCAGGTACTAAAGAAACCATGACTGTGCAAAAGAGTAGAAAAAGGTTTAAAACATTGCTGATAAACCTGTCCACCCTGATGACAAATGAAAGAAATTATATTGATCCTTTCATAACAGATGTTGAAGTAAAAAAAAAAATCATGGCCATCAGCAAAGGAAAGAACACCTTGTAATTTAATAGGCTGAGAAATGTCCACAAGAACATGAAATATCATTCGAAATGAGTTTTTGAGACTAGATTCATCAAAAGAGAGAAAAGTACCCATTGAGATACCAATCAATGATGCAAAAGCTTGAGTGTAAAACTGTATAGGCAAACCATATAAGTGAATCCATAGAGGAACTTGTGAGAAAGAAACCTCCTGAAGACGTAGAAAAGGTTGCCATCATTGTTGAATGATCAAACAACCATTGAACTGACCTCTATTGAACATGAAGTGTAAATCATATGTGCTGTTAAAAAAGAAGCAAGAAGCGATTCTTATATGATTGAATTACTCGAACTTCTTCCCTTAATTTTCAAAAACGTGAGATGTATGCCTGAAACTTGGAAGCATGAAATCTTCTCTGATCATAAACCTTAGCAAATAAATAATGAGAAGAGCACCAATCACTATCCAAGAAGCGAGAATCCTTAGAAAAAGACATAAAGAGATATTTAGACCACGAGGATTGAAACAGAAGAAGAATTGCTGCAAGAAGAAAAGTTAGACAAGAGATGAAGAAAAGCATGAGAGGAAGATACCCAAAGTTAGAGAGAAAACTCTACCCCTGCTACAAAGGGCTCAAAGTTCTTTCACCATACTGTTCGCTAGACCTTGTAAAAGGTTATGATGTAATTCTTTTTTCAGTGCTGGAATGTACTAAATGTGTTTCATGTATTACTATAGCATCTTTTCTGGCAAAAAATATTTCTTGTCCAAACCAATGATTGATATTAAAAGCAACTCTTACTTAAAGAGTAGTCGAGATTTTGCTTCGATATGCAACAAAAATTCCAAATATTCTCTTACTCATTGAATTTGCATTTTTATTGAACTTAATTATAAATCAGATATTTCAGACACTTGTTAGATTTCATTTTATATGAAATTCAATTATTCAATTAAAAATAACTTGCAAGGCCATAATAAAGTATATAAGCAGAATGACAAATAAATCCTATCAAAATGAAATAAGTAAATGATAAAAGAGTACTATGAAATAAGATAATTACTCTAAAGCCCTTAGAAACTTATCTAACATATTTTTCTTTTTGCATTATCATATTTTTTTACAAAATTACATTTCTAACCTTCAACAAAATAATAAAAAGCATAATTGATAGAATTTAAATTAAATTTGTTAATAACAATCGAAAAGTTGTTAATATATGAAATATAGTTGTTAGTTTAGTTATACAATAACAAGTATACTTTCTATTTTAGCAACTTCATGTTAATGATTAACAACTTCAATTTAGGTGTTAACAATACAACTATCAATAATTTCAGTTTATGTAATAATAACAATATTTCTTATATTAAAACTTTACTTTGTTATTAACAATTTTAAATTAAGTTTTAACAACTATGCTATCTATAATTTTGCTTAGGGTTAGAAATGTAATTTTTCAAAAAAAATTTAAGATAAGCCTTTAGAAATTTTAGAATAATTAACTCATTTCATTGTATTCTTTTATCATTTGCCTATTTCAATGAAATTTATTTGTCATTCTCCAAAGTATAAATAGAATATTGTTGATTAAAATTCAATTATATAAATGGCAATCACAAATTATTTTTAAAATAATTAGATTAATAGAATATAAAAATTTAAGATAATGTCTATTTCTCAAAACATCTGTATCTGAATATTTCATGTTTGAAAATATCAAATTAAATGTTGAATGTCCCATTACACATGCATGCACTTAGGCAATTAAAGCAATCACCATCTATTGCTCAAGTTAAAAATTTTGGGCCACAAGTCATTTTAAATTTTCAGTGCACTTGTTTACAAATTTGGGCAGTATAGCACATAATACAGATGACATTTAGATAAAAGCTAACCTAAGCTTCACTCCTCTTATACTTTATGACTTCTTTCTGCATGCCATGCACGCCTGTGTTTCCAATAGAATGCTTGCAAATTCCTGCTATTGTTTCTTTGTATATTCCCTCGGTCCAAAAATTATAGACCCAATCCTCACATTGGTGCTTCCCATTTCAATCTGACGGAAAAAAAAGACAAAAGAAGGAAACACCATTTATTGGTTGCAACAATACAATGATACAGATAGGTGTTGCTACTAAAAGAATGTGGGTCTATTGTGAATGGTTTAAAATTTGTTCAAACTTCAAAGACTAATAATTTAATCACCTGTAATTTCTAACAGACACTTTTCTTATGGTGGCTATCTATGGTACAAACATTTTTTTTTTTTTAACCATTAGTACCATTTTACCAAACAACTTCATGTCTCTGTGGTTGCCTACAAAACTGCTTCATTGATTCAAGTTCTAGTAAAGAAATAATGATGGGTACCTAAGTGAGATGGGGAACCCTATCTGAAAAGCTAATTGTTAAGATGGAAAAACCAACCAACTTAAATACCTCATTAAGCATCACAAACTACTCTATGTGGGAAGCATCTCATACTACCAGTCTCCATCAATTGGCCCCCGTGAAAAGCCCGCGTCCCGGCAGTTGCACTCCATGGCATTTAACTTGGCTTTTTGCCAATCAAAATCTTTCATAGGTAACCCTCTCTAGAACTATTGACAACCAAGACCAATTGATGGGTTTCTAAATGGAATAGGGAATCCTATCCCAAAAGCTAGTTACTAACATGAGAGAACCAACTCACAAAAATACACCCATTGAGCATCCTATACAACTCAATGTGGAACTTGATACTACCAAGTCTCCATCAGATAACAATAGATGCAATACAACTATCAAGAAAAAGGATTTATCGCTATAGTATCAAAGCAAGCTTCAACTAGCACACAATTACATACCGCTAATTCAAAATCACCAGACATGCCCATTGACAGTTCACATTGTTCCTCGGTCATTCCAAGTGCCTTGCAAACTTCACTTCTACAGTGCGATAGTGTCTGTTTGACATGAGAGAAAAGCTTTAGAATTTGAGATGGAGGGAAGCAAATTCAAAAGTTGTGCTAGCAACCAACATGATGATAATGTCTTTGTAATGAGACAGTAGGAAGTGAGATAAGACATAAATTGATATATAATTCTAAAAAGCTCTAACAAATATAAAGCAGTTCATTTTCAATGAGTTCCCATAAGCTTCAGAATATCATAATAGAATTTATCACCTGAAAGTTCTCTGGAGTTGAGCTGTAGTCTGGCATCCCTATTGTCATTAAGCCAGACAATACTAGGTTTGGGCAATTGAACTTTACATGTTTTGCAAGTTCAACACAATTGGAAGGATCAATACCAGATTTGGCTGCAATGCAATGATATCAACAAAATTCGTACACAATGTATGAAACATGTAAGAAAGAACAATCTAAGAGGCATTATCAAAGAGCCTACATTGTATATAAATAATAAAAGAATAAAAGAATGAACAGCTGAAATTGTCCAATCTAACTGCTATTGAAGAACACCAAAAGCGATCAAAGACCTGTATATGAAGAAACAAGTTCCTCATGATAAAAAAGAGGCTCTCTAAGGTGTAGACAAGTTCACCAAATTTCAGAGATACAAAATCATGTAAGTTACAACATACACAACAAGGAATCTGAGTGAACCATGATTTTATTTATGGTGTACTCACAAGCTTCTCCACTGGTATTCACTTGCACCATAACCTTGAGAGGATTTCTTCCTAGAGTTGAAACCATACGATCAAGATGGTTTGCCACCTGCCAGTTCCACAGCACAAAATGGGTGGAACTTGGGATCAATTGGGTAACTAGATGTAAAATCACAACGTAACTATTCTACAGAATTGTTATATAAAATTCAATTAAAAATATCCTGAGCAGTATTTTTTAACAAGATAAATCATTTGACTGGCTTTGGCCATACTAGTAATTGTCAAGAACGATGTGCTGAATATAAATTACATTTCAGAAAATCAGACAGCAAGTCTTCAAGGAGAACCAATATTGCTGTCTGATAATGGATGCTTTGTTGATTTGGTGAATGATGCCACGAAATGCTCGCATGAAGGTGTTCATTGGTCTAATATCAGATCCTTTCCACTTATTAGACAGTGATGAGAACTCAGTGAAGCAAGCTGAGTTGGCCTGGCCAACAGAACTGCCTGACAGGACAATGGCTACTGGTGGATATGCAAGATTACTGGCATATAATCCTAACACAAAGGAGGTGTTCAATGGAGTATTAATGGAAAAGTTGAAGGACACTTTGATGTGACATTTAGCTCCACACCATTAACTTTCATAGTTGGTTATGATAAAAAAGATAATAGTGATGCAATGGGATCACCAGTTCTCCTAAAACTTCAGCATTATTTAGTTTCACCATGATGGATGATCTAGCAAGTATCAATTTGCACCATTGAAGTGGCCAATACTTGAGGACAAGGTTGATTAGCGGAGAAGGCAATATTAGGAATATGCCAAGAGAATATGTGGAGGGAAAATTATGCAAATAAATATTGGATGGGATATTTGGAGGGGGGCATTTTTTTCCATTTAAAATTCATTGGCCCTCTTGTTGATTTTTTATTTAGAGAGCAGCTTACATTTTGTAATCAGATAAGAAAATTGGTAGAGCTTGTGTTCATGGCGTTTCATCTCTTCCACCAAAAAGGCAAAATATCTTATCTCCGATCATTTTCCATGTTTCACAATCTTGAATCTAGCTCCTTGTCCCAGAATGCAACAATGAACAATCTAGATTCCTTTTATTCTAGAACAGAAAATAAACCATAAAAATTAAAAAAAAAAAAAAAAACTAAAGCCATGGGTTTAAACGGTGAAGTCTTTACCTTCTGATTATCCACGCCCTCAACCATGTCAAGATGTGGTACACCACCTGGATATAGCTTAAATGGTTAATTTTGTTTAGAAAGCGCATGAAGCAACAAGATCAAACGAGATAATACAAGGCTAGTAATATGTTCAGCAAGTTCAAGTCTAGACAAAGTGATGTATGAAAGTTTGCAAGCAGCTCAGATAATGATAATGAACTACCAAGACCACTCAAATACATTTATATAAAGGATGCTGTACAACATATGAAGCATAGCGGATAGAGACAGCGTCAAATCTCATTTGATGAAAAATAACAGAACTTCTACCATGATTTCTTGAATGAAAAAAAAAAATTAATATACAGCACGTGGAGCAATACTACGATGATCTTCATAATAATCAAAGCAACCTAAGACCAAAACTCTTATGTTAATTCTACTTGTCAAGTATACAATCGCAAACAGATGCATTACACATTGTTTTCAATAGCTTCAGACAGAAACTGATTCTCGAAGTAGCAAAATAAATTGTTAAAAGTTAAAAAAGAAAAAAATAAAATGAATCATACCCAAAAGTGATTTGACTTTGTTGCTCTGCAAATGCCCAATAAAATGCCACTCGATGTCTTGAGGGAGCTGCAGGCACGCAAACAATTAGAATCCTCGCCCAACATTCCGAAGATCAGATCGAAACCGAAATTTCACCACCTGGGGAGCCTTTTCGATTATCTCCTGAACGTAATTTTCGCCAAAACATCGATGCCCTACGTCGTAGAGCTGGCGAATAAGAGAGATTGGCTTCGTCTTAGATACCGCCACAACCCGAATCCTTTCAGTTTGGTAACAGGTTCTTTCCGCCGCCTGCCGGACCCTGTGCATAACTGACCGAAAAGCCGCGACGGCAGCTCCTTCCGCCATCGGAGCAGCCATTTAGATTCCGGGCTATGTATGTTATCAGACTGCCGGATAAAAGAGAAGCATGTGGTGCTGGGGAGAGCGCGCGAGTGGTTGAACGAAGATCACAAATCAGGGAGACACGCAAGGAAAATATATGAATCATTATTGGTCACAAATTCAGGTATAAAAATTATTGGAAAGTAAAAAATATTTTTTGGAAAATAATAAAAATTAATTTATGTAAGAACATATTGTGGAAAATCAATTATTTCAAAAAACCATAATTAACTGGATGTTGAAATTAGGGACAATAGCTATTTATTTTCATTTGAGAACCAAATAAAGTTAAGATATCATTAAAAGACTAAAATACCAAATCCAAATTAAGTCTGTGTTTGAGAGTTTAGAATTAAATGAAAAAAATAATCATTAATAGAATAAAATAAAATGAAATAGAGTATAATAAAATTTTTTATTGTTTAAAAATTTTATGATGAAAAGAAATTGTTTTACATAACTATTGTTTAAAAGTAATTATAAAATGGATAGAATAAATGAATTAAAATATTTTTCTTCCAATATTATCTTTATGAGTAAATTTAAAAAAAAGGTGAATAAATTTTTATTTAAAAAAAGAAACAGGTCAAACATTGATTGATAATTTATATATGTATATTTATATAAAGAAACCGTGCAAATATAAAAAAAGAAGCGATACATATAGCATTATAATTTTATATATATATATAAAAAGAGATGCATGCATATACTGATAGGGAGGGTTGATATATTATAGCATTCATCTAGCTGTCAAAGGCAAATGCGGATTTAAGAAAAACAGAGAGTCACAACGCGCGGAGAGGTGAGAGCATTGTTTGCTATGTTTTGTGAGATTTAATTAATCCAAGTTGACCCAAGTAACCTAAAAACAACACAGTTGGCAAAAAAAAAAAAAAAAACCTAAAAACAATCCATATTAACTAACTTAACCCTTGGGTCAAGTGGGGTTGAGTGGGTTAATTATTTTTGCTTTTTGACATCCCAAAACCTTGTCTTTTGGGTTTTTTTTTTTTTTTTAAATAGAAGCCTTAAATTGACTTCCTCTCTACTTCTTTGAGTTCACGTCACCTCCAGGCTTTAGCTCTTCCGGGAAAGAAGTAGAAGGGGGAGCATAAAGGAAAGGAAGAAGAGAAGGAAAATAAAAACTTACCCTTGAAGATAACTCTGGAAAACTCTTGATAAAAAAATGAAATTTAAAGCAAAAAACATGCAAGAGAAAGGAAAAGTAAGATTTGGGAGCAATAGTTCAGAAAGAGAAGCAGCCTCGTCAAGAGAGAAGGAGAGAACATCAAACTAGGGAGGAGAAGGGGCTTGGAAGGGGAGAGAGAGAGAGAGAGAGAGAGAGCAAGAACTGAATAAAGGTGAGGCTTGAGTGATTGAACATTTGAAATTGAAAAAAAAAAAAGGAGATGATGCTCCTAACAAAACATGTTGACACACATTTCTTCTTTAAAAAAATGGATAAAGGGGTAAAAACACCATAAGGTCATAGGTCACAAGCATTTAGAAGTTTAAAGTAAGAAAAAAGATAAAAAATTCATAATGTTATTTAAGTTAGTGTAAAAGTGATCAATCCGTTAAATCTTTCAAACATTGACCATCTAGCTGACACCTCGGCAGACGTTGACTATTTTTTGTTGACATAGACTAAAAAAGAGGCAAAATACTTATGAAGTCATCATCCAGAAGAATCTAGTAGCCTAAAGTGAGAAAAAAAGGCAAAAATACCCATAGTGTTATTTTATCAGGTGCAACATTGACTAATTTGTCAAACTCCATCAGTCGATATCCTTAACAAAGATTTCAAACATTTCTTCAGAGAAGGCTCCTCAGAGAAATTTATGATGATTAAGCACAATCTTCTAGAACTCTCTCAACTGAGCATTAACCCTGAGTCGCCGAGTTGACCAAAAAGAGCTGCAATGTTGCAAATGAAGTTGGAAAGGAAATTGAATTGTAGGGAACTTCCTTTATTGATTCAAATTATCTAGAAGAAGTTTCAATAGTATATGAATTTTAAAGAAGTGAGCAACTAAATTTGTTGTTTGGTCAAAATAACATTTTCCCACCATCAAAACTAGAGCATCAAGTAGAGACTCATCAACATATGATCACCGATCAGCTTTCGCAGAATTCTAATTGGGAATACTTTTTAGTTCATGTTAGTGAAAAATGGTCAACTTCTGCTTAAATGTCAGTTAAGTGATCAAACACTTGAGGATTTTGATAGATTAGTCACTGTTGCACCTACTAAAGTAACATTATGGATATTTCTATCATTTTTCTCACTTTATACTATTAGATGCCTCTGGCCGATAATTTCATGGGTATTTGTGCCCCTTTTTTAATTCACATTAGTGAACAAAATAGTCAATGTCTGCTTAGGTGTAAGATAAATGATCAACATTTAAAGGATTTAACGGATTAGTTACTCTTATACCAACTTAGATAATATTATGAGTATTTTTGTCCTTTTTCTTACTTTAACCTATTGGATGCTCTTGGCCAATAACTTTGTGGGTATTTTTCCCTATTACTCTTAAAAAATTGTATGTGCATCATTTTTAATGCAAGCCCTGTGATTCTTTTTTCTTGTTTCCTACATGAAAAATAATAAAATAGTTGTTTTAATATTTTGTTATCACCTTTTAATTGTATAATTATATACATTCACATCTATTATTGTTTATGTTATTTTTCATGTTTTTATTATATTATTTTTAATTTTTGTTTCTATTCTAATTTTTTATGTTTATAATTAGGAGGAGGAAATTAACTAGGTGTAATATATATAAATATACATAAATAGTTCGATATTAAATCTTGGATATGAATGAATATTTAAATTATTTTTCATTTAAATTATATTCTTAAATTATAATCGGTTTGACCTTCGGTTCTACCCCAATTGAACTCTTGACCCCTAACCCATGATCTCGGTTGGTTCAATTACCATTTGGTTTTCAATAGCTTGGATGAGAGGGAGAGGGATATGACATGAGAATGAAAATGTTAAGTAAGATGTTTTTTATGAGGTTAGAAGTTAGGAGTAATTTTGTAAATGAAATATTTGGTTTAGGGCCATTCTATCCTTGACCCCTAATTTGGAGAGTAGAAAAAATTGAGTTATGAATTGCAAACCATGGCTTTAGAGGCTACTCATTGCCATTCCACTCTTCCCTAAAAAAGACTCTCAATTAAAGGCTTGAGCCTATTATCCACTTCACTCCATTCCATTCTATTCTTCTTTAAAAAAAAATCCAAACAGACCCTAAGTTTTGCAGGTTAATTGTCAATATATATGTATAAACACATTCCTCGACTATCATTTTTAGAGACAATAGTTGTTAGAGTTCGTTGATGACAATGGGCTCACCAACACCAGCCATTAGAGCTTTTTGGGGGTAATTGAAACGTCAGTGCTAGTGACTACTCATTACTACAAAAAGGGTTTACGAAAACATTCTTACCAAAACATTGAGAATAAATGGCCACCTTAAAAGAGCCCTTCAACTGGAAATGCTCCCATAGGTATAAAAAAAAATGAAAGGTAGCTGAAAACCCTATAGGGGTGCTTCCAAAGGTTTAAAAAAATATATTAAAAAAACCTAATAATCTATAGGAGTGCTTTCGATAAGCTCATTTAAAAAGTAAAAAAGTAAGTAAAATGTGCACATGGGAGTGCTAGATACAAGAGCACTTCCCATAGACAAAAAAAGCACACTTGTAAGTTTTTTTTAGTAGCGACTTAAATCCTTCAAGTTATCCAAGTAGGGATTTGAATCCATAAAGCTTTGGTTTACCAAAAAATTTTGTAGCTATTGACTCATCAATGCCTCTCAACTATATATTAACTCATCAAAAAATTTTAAAGCATCTGGTTCGAATGGTCTCAATGTTATTTCATTCATAATTATTAGGATGATCTTAGAGGTAGCATATTCAAGTTAGTTCAAAGGATTTTCAAGGATCTTGAAATTGTTGGCGAGATAAATGACACTTTTATCACACTTATTGTTCGGCTCCTATAAGTGTACAAGATTGATATAGTAATGAATCCAAAATATTCCAAGTTGAACCTAGAGGAAAGTAGTGATCTTTGTTATAACCAAAGCAAATGATTTGAGAGAATTATTAAATAAAAAAATGCAAGAATAATAAAAATGTATGAACCAACTAATCAAACAAGCGCTAGGGATCAAGATTCACCTACTAGAATGGCTTACTCTAATCTAGTTATTTATTTCTCTTCATTTATTATGACAATCACTTCTAAGGTATTCTAATTACCTTTTGATATATTATGATGTATTTAATTAGTTAGAGTTAAATTTAATTCCCACTAAATTCTTCTTTCTAACTAAAACATAAAGCTATGATTTAAGTTACCACTAGTCTCTAAATTATTCCTAATTTAGTTATTAATGTCTATCTCTTTAAGACTTGGTAAGTCTTTCACTTTCTAGTTTATCAAATTACCCACATACAATATATGTAGTGGACATTGATGAGTGCACATTTTACTAATAAATAGTTATAGATTTTGAATTATATTTAGTTAAATTTATTAATATTTCATACCTATTTAATTATTATTTATATATTTTTCTCCTATCACTTAATTATAAAATAAAAGGAAATGTTGATACAAATCTACTTAGATTCTTCTTTTTTATTTTGTAGGAGAAAAATAACAAGTTAAATTAAAGAAAGAAAAAGATAATACATAATTATCTAAGGAAAAGAAAGGAAGCAGCAAATCTCATGCATGTGTGTATATAGAAAAAAAATGAAAGATTCTAGGAGATGTGAAGCTACTAGACGTGATTTTTTAAGAAGGAAAAATGTTCCCTTGAAATTATGAATGTCAATACGCGGACAAGCTTAATAGAGCCACGACCGCACGGCGTGAGTGTATGATAGAACACATTTGTTACCCACTTATCTATATCAATTACGACCATTTATTAAGATTTTATTATTCAAAGTGTACACACATTGCATTCGAATTGAAAATTTGCCTAAGTGTCTAAGTTTTGTGCACTAAGGATATTTTGGTTCAAAAATA